GTGTGGCTGCATCTCACATATGCTGATTGGAACCAAACTTAAAACCGATTGCTCGCTCTTCTTTCCCATGCTGAGCAACTCCAGAAAATGTAGAGCCCATGCTTCAAGGAAAACCTGGCAGAAGTCAACGCATCCGAATTGAGCTGCCACGGACAGGTATGTAGCCATTCAGATTCTCCTCGGTGGGGCTGGAGACATGGCCCGGTGTTTTAAAGCACTTGCAGAAGACTTGGGTTCAGTTTCAGCACCTATAAGGCAGCTCACAACCATCTATGAGTCCAACTCCAGGGGGCTCTGGTGACCTCTTCTGACCTCCATGCATGTGGTAATACATCCATACATGCAATCAAAACACAAACAAATAAAGAAAATAAAATTTAATTCTCAGTAACTTTTCTCTAACATTGAAACTTCTGTACAGCATGTTAGAGAACTCATGCCAGTCTTGGCAAACTGCCTTAGGAATTGTTTATACTGTTTTATTTCAGTTCGCAGAAATTATTTTTGTCCCACTATATTTGAGAGTCGGTACTGCTAGTAAGTTACACTGTTTCCAATCCCTCTATTTTCCCTTTTTGCACCTTTTTATAGCACGGTGTATTTTTGTGTTTTTGTAGATACCCAGTGTCCCATCTCCTGCAGGAAGAAGCTTCTCTGGTGATGGCTGAGGAGGCAAGGCCCTCATCTACGGGGGTGGCAGTGTTCCTAGGCGTCATTTGACTGCTATGTCCCTTCAGCAGAATAGCAGGGTATGTTTTTCCCTAGGCCCATGACCTCACTAGTCTTGGGTTCTCAGCCACTTTAACAGTGTCCTCTCTCTAGACCAGTTTAGCTTGTCTCTCTGTGGATGACGTCACCCCAGACCTTATCCCAGGTTGTTTTTGAGATTAGCTCCAGTCATCTACCAGTCCCGTGTTAAGTAGAGGGAAAAGCAAAAAGTGAACAGGATGCACTTTCCCATTGGATTCCCAGCCACTAACATCGAGGGGAAAACCCATGTGTCACGTGTTGAGGATATGATAGAGCTGGCTTTAAAGGTGTGCACCACCTGGTTTCTATGGTAACTAGTGTGGCTACTGGGACTAAAGGATGTGTGTTACCATAGCCTGGTCTGTAAGGCTGACCAGTGGGACTCTTTTACTCTCAGATCTTTGGGCACTCTTTGTTAAAATACAATTGAAGTGCCACTACATTTCCCCTTTTTGCCTAAAATAAAAAAGAAGGCTATAACTAATATAAGAAAACACAATAAGTACAAGACCTATATACAATATATACAGGTAATAAATATATCAACAATTTGACAAATTCAGAGAAAATATTTCATATCCTATCTTGGTGAGTCCAAAGTTTTATACCTAATTTACTTTCTATCATAACTTGCTTTCTGTGTCTGGTAAACTATAACTATGGTTATATAGCTATCTAATCTTCAACTCCCTCAGAGACCCAAGAAGGAAATAATATTAACTGAGTGAGCAGGAAGTGTGAGCAAGTAACTTCCAAAAATTGTAACGGCTGAAGCAGCTGGCTGCCTGGATGGTCACCCCAAGTTCCTCTGCAATGTTGGGGCACCCATCTTCGGCCTACAGGCTTAGCATATTTGTCAGACTTTTCTGTGAAGCAGGATATTGTGTGTCCTGATTGTCTAATTAGGACAGCATACGGTCAGCAGTTGAGGCAGGAGCATTTTCTTGCCCAGTGGCTTACCGTTGCCACAAAGAAAGTAAATTCCAAGTAGAGTTTCTTCAATGCCCATTATCTTCTCTGAAGCAGATTGGTGCTGCCAGCAGCAGACATGAATCATTGTCATAAAAAAGAAGAACCTAGGTTATTAAAACATCTTAAATGCCGTATTCTGTAGATCTCTGAAGTGTATGAAGATGACCCATCTATCTAAATTATATCTTTGTTTGACCTTGAAAACACACCTAATGTGACTAACAAGTTCGATTATACTAGGTGATTAACTACTAACTAATGTTTATTATCCTAAACAGTTGATAATAATTTTCAAGGACTAGAATTTTGCATTACATTGTTAAATGCCACTACAGGAGGTAATAGGTGACTCCTAAGAAACAGTGTCTTCTAGACACAATAGGCAGCCATCTGCAATTCCATATATGAAGTATGCTAATGATATAGGAAGGGAAAATGATCAAAATATATTGTATAAAGATAATTTTTTTAAGTGATTGTAGGAGACTATATCAGGCACTCGAACAACCACTTGGGCAGGAAAGTGCCTAACGCAAAAAGTTCGTGTGTCCATAGAGGCATCTTCTGGGTATTTTGTTATAGATTATCTGGTCAAAAGAAACACAAGAGCCGCACACCAAGGCCAGCCTGGATTACACTTTGAGATCTCACTTCAAAGTAACAAGGGAGGAGGGGCTGGCAAGATGGTTCAGTGGGGAAAGAAGCTTGCTACCAAACCTGATGGCCTGACTGAGTTCAGTTCCCAGGACCCACTAGGTGGAGAGAGAACTGACTCCATTAAGCAGTCCTCTGACCTCTAAATACAAGTCAAGGCACAGGCACATGCATACACACATGTGCACACACAAATATAAAAAAAAAATGCAGGTTACTGCAACTTTCATGGGACTGCAGTGGGGCTCTTGGGTTAAAGTCAGGGCCTTTCACATGCTAACAATGACTACATTTCCTGTGTCCCCCACAAACCTTAGGAAATGTGGACCCTTTATTCAGATTGGCCCTCCTCCTGATTCTAAGTTATTTTAAGGGGCTGGGGGTGTAGCTCAGCGGAAGAGCACTGTCCTGTGTTTCCACCAAGGTTTGTAGAGTGTCAGATGTTTTTGTGTATGTATGAATGTGGGTCCACATGGGTGAAGGTCAGGGGACCCCTTGGGTGTTGCTCCTCACCTTCTACTGTGAGACGGGGTCTGCGTTGCTTTTCCAGTGTACGACCATCTGGCTGGACCACAGCTTCCAGGGATTTTCCTGTCTCTGCTTCCTTCTCCTTGTGAGGGCACTGGCATCATAGCTACACAGAGTCTGACTTCAGTGTGGGTGCTGGAGATTTGAACTAGGAGCCTCACGCATGCACAGCAAACTCTTCCACCCACTGAGGCATCTCCCCAGTCACTTAAAAAAAGTTAACATTGCATACAAAGTGATTGTGGGGAGCTCTGGCCCGCATGTTGAGGCCAGAGGACAACGTTCAGGAGTCTATTCTCTCCTACCATGGAATCCAGATCATCAGGTTTGGACATGCTCCTTACTTACTGAGCCACCTCAAAGGCCCAGTAATGGATTTTACAGTGATATTTCATGTATCACATATTCTAATCTGTCCCTCGGCACTTAAGTCTCATCTGAACAAAACTCTTATCTATTTTACAAAAACATTTAATTATTGTGTATGCACTTGTCTACCATTCATGTGGGGTTAGGGGCTTGAACTCAGGTCACCACGCTTGCTGACAAGAGCCTTTCCCTGCAGAGCTGGCTCACCGGCCCCCAAAGACTTTCTTTCAAAAATTACCCCACCGGGCAGTGGTGGTGCACACCTTTAATCCCAGCACTCAGAGAGGCAGAGGCAGGAGGATCTCCGTGAGTTCGAGGGCAGCCTGGTCTACAGAGTGAGCTCCAAGACAGCCAGAGCTACACAGAGAAAACCTGTCTCGAAAAACAAAAACATAAACAAAACAAAAAATATTTACCCCATGCATGAATGTCGTAATGAAACCCATTACTTTGTCTGCTAACTTAAAAATCGATACTGTGTGAGCTGGAGAAATGGCCTAGTAGCAAAGAGCATTGGCGGCTCTTACAGAGAACCCAGGTTTGATTTCCAGCACTCACACAATGGCTCACAAGTATCTGTCACTCGGGTTCCAGGGGATCTGACACCTTTTTCTGACTTGTATGGACACCAGGCACACACATAGTATGTAGGAAAAACATTCATATACATAAAATAAATCTTACAAAATTTAAAACTTTTTTTTTTTGGTTTTTCAAGACAAGGTTTCTCTGTAGCTTTGGAGCCTGTCCTGGAACTCGCTCTGTAGACCAGGCTGGCCTCGAACTCACAGAGATCTGCCTGCCTCTACCTCCCGAGTGCTGGGATTAAAAGCATGCACCACTGCCACCCGGCCCTAAAACATTTTTATATTGTGACAGAGACTAGTCTTTTCAAACTGCTCTAAAACTCCAAAGAAAGAACCCCAGACTAAGCAGGGAAGGCCTGACCACCCATTCCTGGTCACTGCTTTCCCAGTTCATGCTGGGAAACATTAATTAGCCTGTTTTACATTAGAACTTATTCCCGTTTCTCCTGCTTTAGCAAGGTGTTGGCAGAGACTGCTCGTGTGTTTCCCTGGCCACCCAGACCGGAAATAGTCACACAGAAACTGTATTAATTAAATCACTGCTTGGCCTACTGGCTTGTGCATAGTTCTATGCTAGCTCTTACATCTTTTTTTAAATATTTATTTATTTATTATGTATACAATATTCTGTCTGTGTGCATGTCTGCAGACCAGAAGAGGGCACCAGACCTCATTACAGATGGTTGTGGGCCACCATGTGGTGGCCGGGAATTGAACTCAGGACCTTTGGAAGAGCAGGCAATGCTCTTAACCACTGAGCCATCTCTCTGGCCCCTAGCTCTTACATCTTAAATTAACCCATTTCTATTAATCTGTGCATCATCACAAGGTCATGGCCTACCGGCAAGTTTCCAACATCTGTCTCCTCCAGCATCTCCCTGACTCTGCCTGCTCTCTTCTCCTCTCTCTGCTTGGAATTCTCACCTTGCACTACTCTGCACTGCAATACGCCCAAAGCAGATTCTTTATTAACCAATGGTATTCACAGCATACAGAGGGGGAATCCCACGTCAGAAAGGGGGTGGATACTCCTGGTTCAGGTGGGTAGATCCAGGGCCTGGGTCCTATGCCACAATGTCCAGACACTGAGACACCCAATTTCTCTTTGGGACAGATGAGGTGGCTTCTTGATTTGGAGAAGGGGTCGGGGTGGGTGGGAAGAATTTCTAAGCATTCCTTCTAGACTGCCAAGTATCCACCAGCTAGGGTGATCATTATCTTTCTGACCCTATGCTGTGGCCTTTCCTTTCCCTCTCAGTTCGTTTGGCTCTGTTTGGCCTTTCTGGGGTTTGGGATTGCAGGCTTTATACTACCATTTCTGGCTAGAGTTTTGGTTTTTGTTTTTCAAAAAGGCTAGGCATTGTGGCACGTGCTATAACCTAAGCTCTTGGGAGGCCAAGGCAGGGGTATTGGTTCAAAACTACCTCAAGGCCAGTGTGAGTTAGATGAAACCAAAATACCACAAACTATGAAAACAAAATAAAACCTAGACTGACAGACAGGATGTTAGAAACCAGTTCTGTAAAGCAGATGTCTGCAGTCATATTCTGCCGTCATTGAGGACATGGGAAATTCTAAGAGTTCAAGTACAGCCTACTCTAAGCAACTCACAGTGTGATTACAAAGCAGTTTAATGATTACTGATATCACAAAATGGTCAGAGCATCTGTCCACATAGAAGTACCACTTGCCATTAAAATATGCTTCATTTACGTATAATATACAATTTAGGGAGCTATGCAAGGGTGAAATTAAGATGAGGGTAGCAGGAAGTCGGAAGGGAAAAAGTAACAGCCTCATTCCCTAACTGTCTAAAGGCTGAGAGTTCCCAAACAAAGGGGCAAGTTAAGATGGGAGAAGGGAGGTCAGGCCAGGTCACAATGGTCAGGGACCTTTTCTCCCCAAACAATCCATTATTCCTAACCTGCTCCCTACCCAGGCTGGATTTGATTCATCTGTCTCAGGCAGAGATTAGCCTGCAGCTGCATTGTGCGGGTGTGACCTAGGCAGCTGAGGCACTGGACTATATTCCTGAACGTAATGCGAAGATCCAGCACCTTGGATACTGGGATACATATCCACTTGGATATAGTTGGGATTTTCCATTCTGTCAAGTGTTTTACATCTTTGTTGAAAGAAAGAAGGCAGTGGCAGCTGCCTGTCTCAGAAGACAGGACAAGCCAGCTTCTCTAAGCTCAAGGAAGGCTCTGCTGTAGGCAGAAGCCACATCAGGTAGGTTCCGGGCTATGAGAATGGGGGCAGCACAGAATGCCTTCCCACACTCGGCCTCCCACCAGGGGAGTCACTGAGCAAGGAGAAGGCCAACACAGGCTGGCCTAACTGAGTTTTGTAAATGGCTTAGCAGCAGAAGGTGGTACCATGAAAACTGTGGGTTCTTTTGTTTTTGACTGGTTAAAAATAAAAAAAGTGTCTTGTATAGCCCAGGATGGCCTTGGACTCTGCCATCCTCCTGCCTCATCTCCCAGATGCTAGGATTATAGGTGTATGTCACCATACCTAGCCCAGTATGGTGTTTTTGAGGCTGAATTCAAACTCATTCAAATCTGCTCAATTTCCCCTGGTTCTGCTATTTAAAGAAAAAGGGGGGGGTGAGGAGTAGAGAGGATAGAGAAGGGGAGAAGAAGACTGAAGGATGGACAGGAAAAGGGGAGGGTGGGAGAGGGGAAAGGGGGAGACAAATGAGCTGCAGGCAGTACTCATTCCCAGGAAATTATATTGTGACTAATCAGAGGACTCTGTGCGTGGAGACGGGGATGACAACCCTGCTCACTGTGAGGGATGGCAAGAGAGGTTTGGGGAACATTTTACTTGCTAGCGCCCGGGACCTGCTTTCCTGCTTAGCCTCCCCGAGGATATGTTTGGGAGTGTTCCTGGGAGGTTTGGATTCCTTGCCTTTGAGTCTGCTTCTGTAGCTTGGCATTCCCTGTTTTTGCAAAACCTGCAAGGTGGCAAGATAGCGGATGTTGTCGGGGTTGGATGGATACGTAGAGCTCTTCTGAGGCAGGAGGGACCAACGCAAGCAACACCTCTGGGACTCTGCCGCCAGCAGGTGTGTCTGGGCCATAGGTGGCGGGAAAGGCAGTTGCTCGGTGACCTTCAGGCGGCTGGCCAGCTCAAAGTGTCTCTTTTCTCCTTTCCCATCGACTGTTTTCAACCTATCTGGACAAGCCACGCCCTCGTCCTTTTCTCCCTTTTGTGCCTTCTCTTCCGGCTGCCAGAAAATATTCCTGTCCTTCTTACTCAGGACATCCAAGCTGTTGGCGGGACAGCTTTTCAGTGGGGGCAGAACCACGAGGGTCTTGGATGCCAGGGAGTCGGAGGCGGAGAGGCCCCGGTCAGTGCTTCCGCAGGTGTTTCTGCAGGTCTTGCTGCTAACTGTCTCAGGAATGGCCCACTCTTCCATGCACCAGATAAATTCCTTGATTTGCAGGGTTTTTTTTTCTCCATGCAAGTATGTGGGAAAGCAGAGTTTGGTGGGCTCTCTGGAATCAGTGCTGGGGTCCTGGGAGGGGCTGCTCCAGTTCTTTTCAGGGCTCCAGTTCTTCTCGGGGCTCACCTCAGCCACAGCACTGGCCTCCAGTTTCCCAACCTCTGAGAGGGAACAAGCCTCCAGACTCCCTTGGGAAAGACTCATACAGAATAAGCAGTCGCTGCCGCCACCAGTGCCTTCTCCTACCCTCCCCTTTTTCACTTTCTTCTTTGACCAGATGCAGGCAGTTGGTGAGGTTCGTCCCCAGCCTCGGACCTGCAAAGAAAGCAGCATGTTACCCTCTCGCCAGCTGTGCCAGGGCCTTGCCTCCCCCATCTGGGCTACACTCCTGTTCTCGCAGTCTTATTAATTTATCTTAAATACACATACAGAAAACAGACAGACAGACATATTACCATGGAGACTAGCTGGCCATAAACTCACAATACTCCTGCCCGCTGCTTCTGAAAAGCAAACAAAACTCCCAGCCTTTACTATTTCAGCCTCATGAGAGCAATGCTATTACAGCCGTGGATGCTAATCTCAACTGCTAGCCAGGAGTGGTTGTTTCTGAAGCCTGGGCAGTGGCATCTGTACAAAGCCACGGGACTAGCTACAGCTCCCTTCAGACACAATTCAGCTTAGCACCGTGGACCCACGCTGCCATTCCTGTCCAAGGATTCCTTGAACTATCAATCAGTTTCCCAAACGCCAGGAAGATGGCTCAGAAAGACTGGAGGGCCGGCGAGGAACAGACATAGTCCTGGGAACCCAAGATTCCTGAGCGCCCAAGGTACAGCTAATGCCTCTCGACCCCTGGAGCCCCTGGCTGCAGCTGCCATCTAAAAATAAAGGACTGTATCTGTGATGGACATAATGCTAAGTAGTTAGGAATCGCTTACCTGAAACTCAAATGGGGCAACCTGTATTGTTGGTGGTATAACCTGGGAACCCTGTATTTAATCTTGGATTTGACCAAGTTTCCTTATTATTTACAATTTTTTATTTGGAGAGAAACAGAGAGAGAATGGAATGTGTGTGAGTTCACACAGGCATGTATGATCTATGTGTGAATGAGCATGAAGGTCAAAGGCAATGTGGAGTTGGTTCTCTCCTTCCACCTTACTGTGGATTCCAGGGATCGAACTCAGGTCTCCAGACTTGCACTGCAGCTGCCTCTACCTGCTGAGCCGTCTTGTCAACTAAGCTCAGCCAACTAAGTCACAAGGCCCCACATTCCTTATGAACTTGTGCTACCCTGGCACCTGCCTTACAGTTTCAAATGTCGGCTTCCACCGCTGGCTCGGAGAAGGCCCAGGACTCTAGAGAGCACAGAGGATACAGCCTACGGGTCTCTCAGGCGCTGAGCATGGGGCTGGAAATATTCCAGCCTTCTTTGTCCAGTTACTGGTCAAGTGATCTCTGTGATACCACATTTTACCTACTGGGTGCTTCGGCACCCTCACTCACAGAGTAAGCCCCAGATGGCTACAGAGGTGTTGAAAGAAGAGCTAAATGCTGACTTGTCTGTGGAGAGCTGTCCCATCTGTGCCCAGGAGTGCACATGGCTGTCACTCTATTACACTTCTGACCCAAGGCTCCTATATTCACGCCAACATTTTTTGGTAACATAAACTACTTTGGGAAAAGACCTGTAGTAAAGACCCAAGTGAGAAAAACCCAAGAAGACACTTACGGCTTCTTCCCACCCAGTGCCGATGGCAAACTCGTTGACCCGCTCATCCTCTTCCAACGTGAGGTCGCTGACACCGAGAAGACAGCAGACGTGATTCCTTTCGTTTCTCTCATCTGGACAACTTAAAGTCTGCATGGTTTCCTCTGTGCCTTGAATTTTCTCATGTTCGTCATTTTCTGCAACAGTCTCACTTTCCTGACAGAGATCCATTGCTGGGGTGACTGCTTATAGTTTTTAACATGTTCTTCCTGCAACGTCCAATTCAACTTGGTTTTAATATTGATTTTTTAAATCAGGTATCTCAAGTGAAATATTTTAATATATTCAAGAAGACTGAGAATAAATCTTTCAAAATGACCCGCTTCCAACTGCTGTCAGAAAAGATAAGGCTAATTTTAATTAAAACTAATGTCTCTCTCTTTTTTTTAAACTTTTGTGTGGGTGAGGTAGGGGGTGGTGGGAGGACATGCCACGGCGCTCTAATGGAAGCCAGAGGATAACGGTTCTGTCTTGTCTTTTCTTTCTTTTTTTCTTCCTTCCTTCCTTCCTTCCTTCCTTTCTTTCTTTCTTTCGCACATAGTGGCTCTAGAATCATCAGGCTTGTGAGGTAAGTGCGCTGACCTGTTAAGTCATCTGCCAACCCACGACTGATGAATTTAATAATTTAATTTAATTTAATAAATAAATTTAATTTAATAAAGACCAAAGAAATGAAGACACCTGGAAGACACTAGCATCGGCTCTACCTCTGGTTGCTGTGACAGCTCACAAGGGATGCGGGTCTACACATGACATTGCTAACATCAAAAGAATAGTGGGGACTCATAGACTCCCAGGTTCACCTGTTCCCAGAGCCCTCAGAGTTGGCTGAGGTCCACAAGCTTCTGAGGAGCCCAAGATGCTTTCCCACAGTGGGTAAGCGGACTCTTATTTCTCCATATTTCTGCCAACACTTGCTGCTTTGTTTTGTTTAAGGAAAGCAGAGTGGGAAGAAGAGTGAAGCACGTGATCAGCCAGTTCCCTAGACTCTCTCTGCCCAGCCACATCACTTCCCGTCTCCACCTCCCTAGTACTGTGATTGGGTGTGAGCCACCACCTTTTGGCTCTGTTTCTCTTTCTGACTGATTCAATCTCGCGTAGGCCAGGGTGGCTTTGAACCCACAGAGATCCGTCTGTCTCTGTCTCCCAAGTGCTGGGATTAAAGGGGTGTGCCACCACTGCCGGGCCTCTATGGCTAACTAGTGTGGCTAGCTCCGAACTATGATCTTCATGCAAGCTTTATTTGTTAAAGCCCAAACAAAATATCACCGTATATTGGCACTGTGCCTGCATGCGCTTATGTATTCTTGGTGTGTGCCTAGTGCTGGGGAGGTCAGAAGAGAGCACTGGACCCCCTGGAACTACAGTTCTGGACAACTGAGCCTCCATGTGGGGCTGGGAATCGAACCTGGGTTCTCTGCAAAAAACAAGTGCTCTTAACCACCCAGCCGCCTCTCCAACTCCTCTAATGTGTTTTAGGGACAGAGTTGGCCTTAAACTTGAAGCAAACCTCCTGTTTCTGCTTCTGTGTGGTTTCTCACAAATTATATGCAGATTTCCTCTAAAATGCAGAACTTTGTATAGATATATTTTAATTTTTAATTTTTTTAATGTGTATGGGTGTTTTACCGGCATGTATGTGTATAACATGTATGCTTGCCTTGTGTGCTAGGAGACCAGAGGAGAGCACTGGATCCCCTGGGCTGGAATTATAGGCAGTTGTTGGCTACCATGGAGGTGTTGGGTATTAAACCCTGGATCCTCTGTAAGAACAGCCAGTGAGTGCTTTTAACCCGCTTAGCCATCTTTCTAGCCCATATTTTCCATTTTTTAACTCATTTTTTGTTTTGTTTTATTTTTGTTTTCGAGCCAGGGATTCTCTGTGTAACAGTCCTAGCTGTCCTTGCTCTGTAGACCAGGCTAGCCTCTAATTCACAGAGATCTGCCTACCTCTGCCTCCTGAGCACTGGGATTAAAGGCGTGCGCCGCCACCACCCTGCCACCACCCAACTCTTCACTCACTTTTTTATAGACGGCTTCATGTACTACAGACTAGCTCATGTAGTAAATCCATGAATCGCTGACCCTTCTGCCTCAACATCCACAGTGCTCTGATCAGAAACCCAGGGCTTCAAAATTAAATATCATGTGTGTATGTCTACTCAGGTGGTCAGTGAATGTGTGCATGGGAGTGTGCACATCGGGTGTCCTGCTCACTTGCCTTGCTCCCCTGAGACAGTCTTTCGTTGAACCTGGAGCTTACATTTTCAGGCTAGACTGCCTTGGCTAACAAGCCTGAATATTTCACCTAGGCTAGGCTTTAAAAGGTGGCTCAGGCAGATAGCACTTGCCACACAAGTTTAAGGAACAGAGTTCGGATCCCCAGTACCCACCTAAAAAGTCATGAGTTGTGTGATATATGCCTTTAATTCCAGTGCTGGAAAGGCAGAGTCAGGAGTGGTGTAGGAGGTTCTTCTGTTCATGTGTTGCTTTCATTGGTTAATGAATAAAGAAACTGCCTTGGCCTAGCTGATAGGGGCAGAACTTAGGTAGGTGGAGAAGACAGAACTGAATTCTGGGAGGAAGAAAGCAGAGAGAGAGAAGCCATAGATCCTCCGCCAGAGATGGACGCCAGTTAGAATCCCTGGTAAGCCACTGCTACATGGCAATACACAGATTAATGAAGATGGGTTAAACTAATATGTAAGAATTAGCCAATAAGAGGCTAGAACTAATGGGCCAAGCAGTGATTTAATTGATACAATTTCTGTGTGGTTATTTTGGGTGTAAGCTAGCCAGGCAGCCAGGACAAACAAGGGACCCTCTCCTTGCAACAAAGGAGGATCCTTGGGGCTTTCTGGATAGTCAGCCTAGTCAAAATCTGTGAACTCTGGGTTCAATGAGAAAACATGTCTCAATAAAAATAAGGTGGGTGAGGACTAGAGAAATGGCTCAACAATTAAGAGCATTTGATACTCTTGCAAAGGACCCAGGCTTGGTTTCTGGCACTGAACCAACAAGAATTGGCAACTTCACTTCCAGCAGACATGACACCATTTTCTGGCTTCCGCGAGCACCTGGCAGGCCCATGGTGCATATAAGTTTAACCAAAACACTCGTATACATGAAATTAAAATAAATAAGTCTTCAAATTATATAGATACTAAAAAAAAAAAGGTAGAGATTGAGGAAGACGCCCAAGTCAACCTCTGGCTCTCTGCACTCAAGTACATCCGAACACAAACACACAATGACACACATGGAGTATGACTGTAGTTCAGGGGTGGAGAACACTTTCTAGACTAGGAGGTGCCTATGACTGCATAACAGCCTCTCAGAGCTGTGAGGTTAATCCTGGAATCTACAGCCTCAAACAAGAAGCACGCATATTTATACTGGCTGGGGCCATCTGATGTAAACAGCACAACCCTTACCAGTTTGGAGTTTTGCTTTTATTGTTTTGTTTCTTAAATTTATTTTTATTTTATGGACACTGGTTTCTGACATGGACACTGCATGTCTGTCTGTCTGTCTGAGGGTGTCAGATCCCCTGTGAATGGAGTTACAGACAGTTGTGAGCTGCCATGTAGATGCTGGGAATGGAACCTGAGTCATCCGAAAGAGCAGTCAGTGTTCTTAACCACTGAGCCATCTGTTGCTCCAAACCCTCCGATTGATTTTTTTTTTTTTAAAGACAGTCTTGCTATAGAGCCCAGGATGTCCTGGAACTTGTTAGCCTCGAATTCATGATCCTCTTGGCTTGTGTCTCTGAAGGGCTAGGATAGCCCAAAACAAATTCAGCTATAGTGTTTTAATAAGTAAATAACCCTAATCAGGGCTAGACACACAGCTCAAGTCAACAAATGCTTGCCTCATATGCATGAGACCTGGGTTTAATCCCCAGCCACCAGACAAAATGTTAGCTATGTCATGCCTTTGCATTTCTGACACCGGTGGGGTAGAGATAGGATTCCTGGGGTTTGCTGATCCAACTGGTGAGTCTTGGGACCAGCGAGAAACTCTACAGCAATGAAAATTATTAAAAGTCACTATGTTGCCTGCAGAATCTCCAGAGAAGAAATGGGTTCCAAAGTCAGACTTTGAAACTGTGAAGCTGGGAACCATGCCTAGCCATGTTACTTAGTATGACGTAATACATGATCCTACTCTCAGAAGTAAGACAGTCGGGACTGGATGGTAACACTGCCACCCCCAGCTCTTACGGCATGAAAGAATGTTCTTCCACCCCTCTGTAACAGACTGCTTGTTATTCACTCTTGTTGTGCACAATGCAAAGATATTCAATAACAGAACCCATGTCATATGCCAAAACCCTCACTGTATGGAGGAAGCTGGGGTTTCTGTTCTACCTTGAGGATATACATACATGGGCCAAATGTGTTCAGGACACAGAGATGCTACACCCCTACAGCAGACCTCCAAACACAGCGAACTATCAACTGATTGGCTTATGATTCAGAATGTGACTCTGATGTCCTACAGTTTGTCCTTTTGCCTTAAAACACCTTTAATTTGCCAGGGATGGGGGCACACATCTTTAATCTCAGCATAAGGGAGGTGGAGGCAGAGGCAGGTGAATTTCTGTGAATTTGAAGCCAGCCTGGTCTATACAGTGAAGTCCAGGATAGTCAGGGCTACATAGAAAATCAGAAAAAGTGCTCTACCTGGCTTTGAATCCCACCACCCACATGGCAGCTTACACCCATCTTTAACGCCAGTTCTTGCCCGTGAAGGCACAAGGCGCCAACACGGTGTTCAGACATACATGCAACAAAACACCATACACATAAAAAAATCAAAGAATGAAATAAAAAAAAGGAGGACATAGATACAGTTTTGTAAGAAGAGCACTTGAAAAGCACACACAAAGCACTGGGTTCCACCCCCAGCAAACAGGCATGATGAAGATGTGGGCAGGAGGATTAGACGTTTAGGTCATTCTTAACTAAAATATTCAGTTAGCCTGAGGTACGTAAGGCCCTATCTTTAAAAAAAAAATAATAATGTTAATTCCTATCCCAATGATCAACTCCACACGAGCAGAGGCTACCTGAATGTGTTGAGGAGTTTGACACCTGCCCACTGCAAGAAAATGTGGGGTGATCGATTATGTCTGCCCCAAAGTAAAGTTGCAGTGTGCACGTTAGCCTTTGTCAGGGCAGCCAGACTAGGACTAGCTGGAGATCCCTACATTTGACTGACACAGCCCTCATCTATCAGCAAGCACGGAAAGCAGGGTGACTGGCAACAAACAGAAGCCCAGGTTACTGATGTCAAGGCAGGTTGGTTCCCCAAACCTCCTAAACACCCCGCCACAGCTTCTCATGGCTCTACACCTCATCTTACTAAAAGCTACGGCTTTAAGGGAATAGGGTATTGGGTAGGGTATCAAGATTCAGACAGAGTGGAGGTGTGGTAGCATGTGCCTCAACAACTCAGGAGGTTTCCAGCTAGCCTGGGCTACACAGCAAGACTGTCTCAAATAGACAAAACTAAATAAAAATATCTTCCTATGTTAATTAACTGTGACATGTACCCTATGGGGGACAGCTGCCATAATGAAGCAATCCTTGAGTTCTTCCAAATTCAAGTAGGGCATGTACAACCACCCCTAGATATCAGGCCACTTCTATTCCAACCACTTACAACTCTCAACTCTCGCCTTTGTTTGTTTGTTTGTTTTAGCCCAGGGTCTCGATTTTTGGTTTTGTCAGGGTCTCACTTTGCCCTTTTCCGACTTTCGTTTCTGAATTCACGAGGTGCCTAGTCCTGAGAGGATGGCCTCCCGAAGGCTCCCAATGCTCAAGGCAGACAGAAAGTACAAGCCCGATCCTGGCGCCCAGACCGTCTCATCTGGTTCCTCCCTTCTACTAGTGGTCCCATCACACTCCTTCCTTTCACCCGCAGAGCAGCTTCACCTTATCAGATCCTTCCCCTTCCTCCCAGCGGCTCCTACAGTGCCAAACAGGGCTGGTTTGCCCTAACTTCAGGCAGCTCCTAGGGGCTGCACCAAGCACCTCCATGGAACCCTCGACCACGCCCCCAATGACCACGCCCATCAAACGGCTCCTCCCCCGAGGCGCGAGCGGCTTCCAGGCCCCCGCCCAATGCAGACTCGCCGTCCCTCTTCTTCTTCTAACTTACCCGCCCGGAGGGTTGCTTCCTTCCTCGGTTCTGCCACCCGCCTGCCAAGTGTCCTGGGAACTCTTCCCCGGGGCGGGGACGTGGCCACGTCCACTCAGACTCTTTAACGGGACCGTGAGGGAAGGAAGGCTCAGAGCGGAACGTCCCCAGCGGGCAGGCTAGAGCGGGGCCGTTGCCCCAGGTTACGACCGCGTCGGGGGCGGGCCGAGAGAGGGACAGCTTGGCGGAAGTGACGTCAGCCTCAACAAAGCCGCTCCAGGGAGGTGACTCTCTCTGAGAGCGGGGTTAGGGAGCGGTCCCTCCGTGCTGCGCGCGCGGCCTCTAGCGGCCCGTGGGATAGTGTAGGGCGCCTGGCCAGCGGCGCCTGCGCGTCGTGACATCTCTGCTGGGACATCTCTGCTGGGGAACTGAGGCCCGCGTGCTTCGAGGGTTTGGCACTGTCGACGTTGGGCAGCCCAGTCACGTCGTCTTCAAGAAGGGACGCGTCAGAGGCCAGGCAAACAGTATCTGCAGATTTGGCACTTGTCCCTTCGCGCAGAATTGTCCCTTCCTTCTTGAGATTCCGCTAGTGCTAGTGGAACTCATGCCCAGAACTTCATGAAGAAGACTCATTTTCTATTTGTGTCCTGTGTAGCATGGTGTGGCCTCGCAGTCCTGGCGACCCTCCTTCAAAGTCTCCGAAATCAACCAGAAGAGGATTTAGGGACGTGCCTTCCACTTTGGTTTAGTTCTTTTCGGTCCGCCCACTTTTCTGGGACAGTAGCAGCGAGCACTCGCTGAACTTTTGGCCACCTGTCAGCAGCGCTGCTCTTGTTGCCTCTGAGCACTGAAAGACAAATCCCAGGCTGGGAACCTATGCCTGAAGTGAAGCATTGAGTGGTAAGTCTAGCCCCCCAACTCAGGTCTAGTTCCAGGGCCCCTCTGCTTTCTGGTTTAAAAAGTATTCCTACAGGAGGACAGGAAAACACCGTGACTCAAACAAAGGCGGTTGGAAAAATAGCTACGAAGGACGACTTTTTACAGCATTAAAGGTAAAGATGTGATTGATGTATGCAGTACATTATTCAATGAGGTTGGAGCAGAGTCCTCTTGTAGAATATGACTACTTGTTAAGATATTTCCATATATATATAATACCTCCATATCTGCATATGTATGTATACATACACATATTGCTATCCCAATACATTTCATAACATAGAAGTAATGGATGACGCATTTCTAAAATGTTTATATGTATACTTAGATTTATTGATGAGGATGTTTTTGCTTGTGGATACGCATGTGCCAGGCAGTAATAAAGGCATGCTTAAAGTTAGCTATTTTATTGTTTCCCAACACTCATGAGCAAACGCAGGGCTTCACATCTATCACCAAGATGTGTCTCCGTTCTATGTTGCCTATTCTGGCCTCCAAGTCCGTATCTTCCCTCTGTCCCTGAGTACTGGAATTACAAGCATGTGCCACCAGACCTTGCCACTCAACCATAATTTTTACACCCAAAGGTGGACGCTTTTAAATATTACAGAAAAGCCCAGAAATTTGGAAAACAAACAACAAAACTTGCAGTCTGCTGAGGAACTGTCTAAGGTCTGAAGCACTGGTCTTTTATACTGGAGCATGTGCCGAGAGCCCTCCAGTGGTTCCACTAAAACCCAGTATGGTCAACCTTAGAACTACCTTCAAGGTGGTTTTTGTGGGGTTTTCACTTTTTTTTTTTTTTTGCTTTTCGAGATAGGGTTTCTCTGTAGCTTTGGAGCCTGTCCTGGAACTCCCTTTGTAGACCAGGCTGGCCTCGAACTCACAGAGATCTGCCTGCCTCTGCCTCCGGAGTGCTGGGATTAAAGGCGTGCACCACCTCTATGCCCGGTGCCCATAAAGGCCAAAAGAGTAACTGGATCTTTTGGAACTGGAGTTTCCAGTGTTCGCGAGACTCCATGTAGGTTCTGGAAATTGAACCCAGGTGTTTTGGAAGAGCAGCCAGATCTTTTAAGCACTGAACTGAACCATCTTTCTAAACCCCTATTATATTTCTGAAATTTTAAATCTTTGAAAAAATTCTTCAAAAAATGACAAAGAATAAAAAAAAAAACAAGGCAAAGGAAGAAAAAGTAAGCATTCTTCAAAAGCTTGAAGTCGAGCCAGGTGTAGTGGTGCTTGTCTGGGATCAGCGCTTGGGAGAGGAAAGCAGGAGACCTGGGGCTCAACATTTTTGGCTGTTAAAGCCAACTAAGGTGGCAGGCATGCTTTCCGTATTAAACATAAGCACTGTCCCTGGAGACCTAGACTATTCTGGTGTCTGGGACCCCTTGAGGCACAGAAGGGGCCAGGTCCTGCTCCCACCTCCAGACTTCCATAATTAAGGTTCCTAGCCCCTCAAGGTGGGAGAGTGGCCAGGCCCTGCCCTACAGGAAAAATATCCCATCCATCGCTGAACCTGCCCCAAGATCAAGCAACATAATCCTTTCAATCCCAGGCCACCCTGGAAAGTGTGTGTGTCTGTCCTCAGGCCCCACCCCCACCCAGCAAGAAACTATATAAATCTGTTCTGCCCAGTTCTCTGCTGCTTCTTCCCCAGCGGAAAGCAGCCATCTTCCTGGGGTTTTCATTCCCGATAAATCTCGTGTGAGATTTGTTGTATCCTTGGCTCCCAACTGCCAGGATAGCCTCTCTCAGAGCTGTAACACTTACAAAGGTGGTCTTTAGTTAAATCCTCCATACCAGCCTGGGCAAAATGAGAGTCTGTCTCAAAAATACACTACAAACCAGGAGGTGGTGGGCTCACACCTTTAATCCCAGCACTCAGGAGGCCAGGCAGATGGATCTGAGTTTGAGAACAGCCTGGTCTACAGAGTGAGTTCTGACAGCCAGGACTACACAGAGAAACCCTGTCACAACAAACCAAACCAAAGAAAGAGAGAAAAGGGAGGGATGGAGGGAGAGAGAGAGAGACAACTACTACAATAACAATTTTAAAAAACCAACAAAAACTCAACAAGAACAAAACAAAAACCACCACCAAACATCAAAGTCAAGCATGGTGGCTCACACCTGTAATCCCAGCACTACAGAGGATGAGGCAAGAGGATTGCCATGAATTCAAGACCAGCCTGGGCTATAGGATGAGATCTTGTATCAGACAAAGCATTCAAGAAAAAGAAAATTCCACTGGCAAACTATGTTTAAGAGGGCTGGGGATACGGCTTCATGGTTAGAGTGCTTGCTTGCTGTGCATGAGCCAAAAGGAAAACGGAAAAGGCAGTATTCTTTGTATCACCGAAATGGTAACAGAATTGAATGTATATTCCAGATAGTTAGCATATGTTCTGCTCACTCTCTGTGTGTGTGTGTGTGTGTGTGTGTGAGAGAGAGAGAGAGAGAGAGAGAGAGAGAGCGCTATGCATGTGCCTAGAAGATAGAGGTGTCTTTTGCCCTATTTCACTGAGATAGGGTTTCTCAGAACCTAGAGCCCCTCCTGTCTCCCTACAACCACATTCGGCATTTCAGGTGGGTCCCAGAATCTGAACCCAGGTCCTCCTGCTTTCACAGCCAGAACTCTCTCCACCGAGCCGTCCCCCAGCCTGATTTTTTTTTATAAACCTTTTTTTTTAAAGATTTATTTCATTATGTATAACATTCTGCCTCCATGTATGCCCGCATGCCAGAGGAGGGCGCCAGATCTCATTAAAGATGGTTGTGAGCCACCATGTGGTTGCTGGGATTTGAACTCAAGACCTCTGGAAGAGCAGCCAATGCTCTTAACCACGAGCCATCTCTCCAGCCCCCCACCCCAGCCTGATTTTAAACTCCTTTTTACTACACATGAATTCTGACTTGCACTTCATATGAAGTCAAGTAAGAATTTTCCACTTAAAGTCTTTTCAACCTTAAGATTTTGAAGCTTTTAAAACTTGGTGTGTTCAGATTAGAACAGCTACATTTGCTAAGGGACAAATGAAAGTTAGACCAGGAAAGGTGAGAATCCTGCCCGTGACCAGTCTGTGTTCAATGCCTTATCCACATCAGCTTTCTTCTCTGTGAATTGGGTATAGTAATAGATAGTTGGTTAGAAAGATCAACAAACACTCAACATAATTACCACCTAGTTCCCAAGCAGTAAGGTTAATTAGCTTGACTGTCAAGTACACAACAGTCAGCCATGACACCTCCGTGTTTTTTGGCGAGGATGCCAAGATAACCTTGGTGACAGTTGTTTATCATCAGCAGTGTCTCCCGAGTGCTCTGCTCTCCTGAGGAAACTGCTCCTTTGCCACTCGCTCGCCACCAGGTGTGTCTGAGTCTGTCCCTCTGCTGGAGTCTGAGGAACACAAATGAACAGCCTACCTACTTCTCCTTTGTTTGTTGGGTGTTGGTGAAGTTTGTGTATGTCTTTGTGAGCTTGTCTGGGCCCAGGCTGACCATGGGATCTGTAGCCAAAAGATGACCTTAAACTCCTGATCCTCTTGCCTCCACTTCCCAAATGCTGGGATTATAGGCTTGAGCCCCCAAGTTTAGCTACACACATTTGTGTGCATATAGCCACCCCCAGAGTGTTTTTATAATTGACTACGTTAGAGAATATGCCATATTAGCCGGCTGGAAATACCATTTGGCAGTAAGTACACTTGGCTGTAAAGGACAGGTATTAAGGCCGTATCAGAAAGTTCCAGTGTCTGCTTATCCCTATTGGATGGAAACCTGGGTATGACTTAAATTTGGTCACAGTATGTACAATGCTGACAATCTGTCACCATCTTCCCTCCTCTGAGCTAGCGTGATGAGAAATGAAGATGGCAACGTCATTCTTTTTTAATTATCACAGGGGAGTGAATGCCATCTTCTGTTACTGCAAGTAAATTAATTTGCTCTTGGGGAAAACAAGGGTTAGTGCACACTAGGACAATGGGTGAACCTCGACCTGGGAAAACCCATCCTTCCTGGTCAGTCTGCCCTGGCAGGTAAGCATGAATGAGTTCTTTCCAATCACAGCAGATTGCCAATGCTAAGAGATTCTGGCCAGCACAGCTCTCTATGCATTCCTCATGCCTTTCATGGTTAAGGTGTACGTTTCTTTTTCATTTTAGATTTGTGTGCTCTCTGCCGGGATGTATGTATGAGCACCTTATGTGTGCCTGCTCAGAAGGCATCAGATCCCCTGGAACTGGAGTTAGGGAAAGTTGTGAGCTACCATGTGGGTGCTGGGACCTGAACCCAGGTCCTCTGCAAGAACAGCAACTACTCTTAACCGGTGAACTCTCTATCCAGGCCCTGGCTGTAGTGTGAATTCTAATTG